CATGCACCATGGTGCCTGMCCCAAGAACCAGTTTGTGCCCTCTGAGGGGCAATGTACCCCAGTTGAGAATTCAGGAGCAACAACACACTGACAAACATTTTGAGTCCCCCTTACACACACTATCCCAATCTCCAATGAGATGTTTCCATTTTTCAAATGCATAAGTCGAGACTCAAAGGTATTTTTATTCATTATTGAAATGACTGATCATGAGACTGGGAATCGAAAACTTACCAATGTCCTCGCTTAGCTTCTTATCTTCTCCAAACCTTTGTTCCCTGATGTGCAGAATGATGGAATGGATTCAAAGAAGTGTTTCCCGAACCTCAGTTAATGGTTTTGTTTTGGTTTTTGTACTATTTGACCTAATAATAGCAAATAATTATACAACATTGACAGATGCCAGGCACCAATCTAAGCCCTTTACATATATTATCTAATAATAATAATATATTATCTAATCATAATAACTTTAGAAATACCTTCCCTGTACAGATGAACAAATTGAGGCACAGAGAGGCTATGTGACTTGCCCAAGGTCACATAAGTAGTAGTTAGTGGCAGAGACAGGACTTGAACCTAGTAGTCTGAATTCTTGGGTTCCCACTTTTAACCATGTACTCTAAAAGGATACTTTTTTTTTAAATTGGGGTGGAACCCCACAGGTACTTTACTTCTAAGATACACACTCACCTTTTCTTATTTTATTTGAGACAGGGTCTCACTAGGTTGTCCTGGCTGGCCTTGAACTTCCGATTCTCTTCCCAGGACTTCTCTGGGTGCTGGAGATCACAGGGGTGCATCACTGTCACCAGGTCTAACTAAAAGGAGAGTTTTTAATCACGATAAGAAATAGAACGCTTGTAAATAGACAAATAACATATATACATATATAAATTGGACAGGCCATAACCTTCTATCCAGAAGATGTCCCCACTGCACATTCTGAGCTGGAGGCTGCTGTCTCTTGGTTAAAAGAAAGAGAAAAAGATAAGCACAGATAAAAAGGTGTTAAGAGGCTCTGGCAGCAGAAGGAGACTTTCTCCTGGAGCCATCTTAGAAGTGTTAAAAGGGAAGTGGATGCCAAATTGTTTGTACCACCTAAAATAAACCAAGATGGGATGCACTGTGCACACTGCACCTTGTCGGGTGTTCTAGAAGTGTGTGGGCTCCCCTGTGAAGAAAGGGAGATGGTACCAGCCAGTCCTGGCCTGGGAGTGCAGCCAGAAAGCTTTTGGCCACCACTGCATGTAAAGGGGCAGTGTAGGRTGGCACTGCCCTCTCCCCGCTCCCCCCAGCTCCCCACACCAGTCTCTCCCCYCATCCTGTCCTGGCAGACCCGCCACCGGTTTACCTGGGTCCCTGTTGCTTCAGGCTGCTGTGCTCACCCTCTTTACCTGGGCACAGCGGGCCTCTGCCTGCGGGCGCACAGCTGTGATATCATCACAGGCTGTGAATAAGTAAACAATAAGCAGTCAGAGTGGCCTGTTCCCCACCTGACACCAAGAGAAGGCCCAATTCCCCCCACTCGTGCTCTGGGGAGAGTCTTGGCCCGGGTGCCTGGGTATTTATTATTTAGTACTTTTGTTTGTACCTGTCCCAGGTGAGGTACAATTCCAGGAGATTCCAGTCCAAAAAAAGCACAACAGAGGAGAAGGAGACAGACAGCAAGGGCCCAAGTCCCCATATGTTGGCTGTGTAATCTTGGCCAAGTTGCAGTGCCTTTCTGAGCCCCTGTTGTGTATATATACAAAGTCCCATTGCCTGGACCTGGATCCTGGTTCTGCCCTCTCACTAGCCAAGAGTTCTTATATAAGTGACTCACCTTCTTTGAGTCCCTTGGGCTTCTTATCTATAAATGGGGACAATAACAGAGCTGCTACAAAGGGCTGCCGAGATGATTAAGTGAGAAGATATGCATAAAGCATAGTTCCTAGGTATCCATTGTGATCTCCATTAATTGTTTTGTTGTTGTTTTGCAGTTCTAGGGATCAAACCCAGGGCCTTGCTCATATTAGGCAAGTACTCTACCACTGAGCTCTCTTGATATTTTTTAATGGTCTCTTGTTCYATGCTAGGTACTTTACAAACCCTTTCTCTAACCATCACAAATTCTGCCAGCTTCTTGTGGAAGTCCCCACTTTCCAGGTGAGGAAGACTGAGGCTCAGTGAGGTCAGTTGATCTGCCTGAGGTCACACAGGCACAATGTCAGAACTAGATTTCCAATAGCCAGATCTTGCTTGATTCTAAAGTGTCTGTTTTCCCAAGTGGGCCTCATTCTTTCCCATCTATAAAGTGGATATAATGGCTGCTGTCACCCAGGTCTACAGGGAGGATTAAATAAGATAAGGTCTGCRGAGAGGCCTCTATTGAAGCTGGCTCAGCTCTTTGGTCCTCCAGGGTAATTACCGAGGCACAGGCCTTTCATTTTTATAATCAGGAGGCTGGTGAGCTTAATCTCTAGGAGACAATGCTGCCTGCTAGCCATAGGAGGGGTCTGAAGGGTTAGATCAAAATCAGATCTGTGGATGCTCTTCCCAGGCCCAGGCCCAAGTCTGAACAGGCTTCTTTCATCTCTGGCCTTCTCTGTGGCCAGTCTCCCACCTGGCCCAGGATCATCCAGAGCATGTCTCCCTTCCCTAAGGGCAGCACAAAAAACCTGTGATACTATCCAACATCCCCAGTTTTAACCTTCAGGGAGAGGGACACTGATGTTTATCCAGCTATTGTGAAGTCAGTTTCTCGCTGCCTCCCACAAATGGTATGATGTGGGTAGAAGTGGGGCTTTGGCAGAGTGGGGTGCATACGTCACCCCTCCCACTAGCCTGCCTGGCAACAAGGCCTGGTGCACTGTCCACCTTCCTGCATAATGTATGAGCCAACAGTAGGAACAGAACACCATTAGCAGTGAGTCTGACCACTGCAGACCATGGCTGTGTCCAGAACCCTCGCCAAAGCTGACGTGTCAGTTGGCTCCGGCTGAAGAGAGGGTGGGGATATGTATCACCAGAGGCCTTTCCTGTGGCCAAGGTGGGAACTGGCCTCATCCTGATCCTCGGGGACTCTATCAAGTAAGAAGACAGCCCYGAGAAGGCAATCAGACCCTGCCTTCCAATCAACAATGGTGACATGGGGAGAGTCCTGTTTTCTGGGCTCAACCCCCCCAGGGGTCTAGGGTGGYAGAGGGAGTGGTTGGGAACCCCCTTGGTGTGGTTGAAGGTAGGAGGGGCAATTTGGAAGCCAGGGACGCAGTGCCTGGCAATTTCTGTGGCTGCCTGATGGCACAGGAAACCTCCTGGGACAGCAGCTGTGACCAGGAGGTACATCAGGGTGAAGAGCAAAAGGGGGAATGGTGTGGCATTGYAATTGGGGGGAAACACCAGGCTGCAGCATCGCACAGGAAGTCAGGGGTCTCCGTGGGAGGTGCGCTTATGTGTGTGCAATCAAAGGCCAGGAGTGAGAGGGGGATCCTTGAGGGCCTTGCCAGCCAGGGCAGCACTGGCACCTGGATGACAGCACCAACACTTCTTCCTTCATGGACAGAGTTGGATTCGGGTCATTCATAGAATCTGAGTATTAATTACTGTGGGATCCCCGAGGCTAGGCCAAGTGCTTGAGCTACAGAGATGAATCAGACTAGACCCCAGCCCACAGTCTACCTAGGAAGCCAGACACTGAAGTGGAGAAGTCAAATACCTCAAGGTGATGCTTGACTAGCAGTGCCTAACTAGGGCTGTGGGAACTCAGAGCCCAAAGTATCCACCTCTGCCTGAGGTTGGCAGCAAGAACCCACTGAGGCACAACTGAGAACAGGCTTGAGGTTTGTCATGAGGAAATGAAGGGAAGGGTGTGATAGGCAAAGGGAACAGCATCTGCAAAGCCGCAGAGCTGTAAGACCCTGAGCACTAACTCAGGAACCTTCAACAGATCTTATGTGGAGCTTTAAAAGAAGGGACTGGGCATCAAATCTGATTTGTTTTACACATATTATCTGATTCCCCTCCTGCAGTAGAATGCCAGCAACGTGAAGACAGGAAATTGGCCTCATTGTCAGAGCTCCAGGACCCACAGTGGTGGCTTTATCCTGGATCTAGTAGGAAGCCTTTGGAAGATTGAAAGCAGAAAAGGAACAAGATCTGATGTGTGTGGTAGGAAATAACTTTGACAATGATGTGAATGCTGAAAAAAAAAATAGGTGTAAGAATGGAGAAATGAGGGGCTGGGGATGTGGCTCAAGCGGTAGC